GAATGAATGAGAGATAGTAGAACGAATAAAGTGCAGGAATCAGAGAGGGCGAATCAGTAATCAAGCCGCACTCCTTTTGTGTGTGTGTGTGTGTGTGTGTGTGTGTGTGTGTGTGTGTGTGTGTGTGTGTGTTGTGTGTGTGTGTGTGTGTGTGTGTGTGTGTGTGTGTGTGTATGTATGAGAGAGAGTGCCGGGTACTAGAAGCAGTGCCAACCCCGTAGTATTGGCACTATGCCTGCAACAGTGTGCCAGACGCCGCAGGAGTATGCCACCACCTCCACCATCCACACACACACACACACACACACAGTAACATCACGATTAGCTTAATAGATCGCTAAAAATGCCTGACAATGTTTCTCTCATAATTTGCCTTATGTAATATTCCTATTTATTTACCAACGCTTGTCTCATTCCCGATTTTCTTCAGCGTCGCTTACCGCCGCATCATAGAAAACGTAGCCGCCCTTCAAGGTTTAGTCCGACCAAATCGTTTCCCCCGCAAGAGAAGCAAAAACAAAAATATCACAATGAACAAAATCTTAGGAACGTCGTCATGGTTTGGTGACGAAGATGGCAATTGTTTTGTAAATTGTTTGGCGATTATTCCTTCCCAGTGATGCCAGATGAGGGGGGCAGAGGGTATGGGGGAAGGGGGTTATTATGGGATATATCCAAGGGGGTGTGTTGGAGTTAAATATGGGTGTGGCAACAGTGTATCTCTGTAGGCTCACGGAAACTGCTCTTCCTACAAATAATACCTCTCTCTCCTTCCCCCTCGTCAAGGGAGTAAGAAGGGCAAACTCTATTGATTTAGCAATGATTCAACATTGACCAAACACTGTTTGGTCGTGGTTTGCCAGGGCGTGTGGATGGTGGACCTGTGGGTAGTGCAAGCCACGGCGATGCGTGGTGTTTGGCGCTCAGGAATGGGTGAATGAGCGGCCAGAAGTAGGTGGTCAGGAATGGGCGGCCAGATGTGGGTGACCAGGAATCTCCGGCCAGATGTGGGTGGTCAGGAAACAATGTGGAATTCAACAATGTGGAATGGGCTTCGTAAGACAAGATGTGTTATAGCAAACTTAAGTGCTTTCACCCAATTATCCAAATAGTCAACCAGAGAGCCATTAGAAAGTGGTTTCTGCCTCCCACGTCTCTCTCTCTCTCTCTCTCACCCACACGTAACATGGGGATAAGATAAGCTTGTACAGAAACTTCTCTTCCTGAAGTACAGAACTTCGTGTCGGAGGAGGAGGAGGAGGAGGAGGAGGTCACATACTGCCAGTCCCTCATCTTCTCCCGCAGCTCGTACAACGGCTCGGTTCACACACCATTATTGTCCATATGGCACACGTGTTTACCTCCCACTAGTTATTTTATACATATACAACTAATCGTAGAAAAGATCCTTACGAAGAGGTTTCTACCTGTAATAAGACGTTTGCAGGTTCAAGGCGTGTCCCACGTCTTGCCCCAGCTGTTGTGTGGCGCTGTTGACGGTGAATGAAACGAGCCGTTCATTGCCGTGGTTTGGGGTGGCAGCAGGCGCCGGGCCCACCTCTCTTGTGCAAAAACAAAATGTTATTTTTAAATGTCAATAAGTGTGTGTGTGTGTGTGTGTGTGTGTGTGTGTGTACTCACCTAGTTGTGTTTGCGGGGGTTGAGCTCTGGCTCTCTGGTCCCGCCTCTCAACCGTCAATCAACAAGTGTACAGATTCCTGAGCCTATTGGGCTCTATCATATCTACACTTGAAACTGTGTATGGAGTCAGCCTCCACCACATCACCCCCTAATGCATTCCATTTGTCCACCACTCTGACACTAAAAAAGTTCTTTCTAATATCTCTGTGGCTCATTTGGGCACTCAGTTTCCACCTGTGTCCCCTTGTGCGTGTTCCCCTTGTGTTAAATAGCCTGTCTTTATCTGCCCTATCAATTCCCTTCAGAATCTTGAATGTGGTGATCATGTCCCCCCTAACTCTTCTGTCTTCCAGCGAAGTGAGGTTTAATTCCCGTAGTCTCTCCTCGTAGCTCATACCTCTCAGCTCGGGTACTAGTCTGGTGGCAAACCTTTGAACCTTTTCCAGTTTAGTCTTATCCTTGACTAGATATGGACTCCATGCTGGGGCTGCATGGTGTGTGTGTGTGTGTGTAACAGCAGAGATGAATAGCTCCTGGGCCCCGCCTCTACACGAAGTGTTTGGTGAACAATGCAATGTTCTGGGAATGTCACACTTGTTTCCCAAGTTGTGGGATGTTGTTGCTTGGGTCACCTCTCGCTTAAGGACACGTGCTCGCTGCTCCCACTCCAAGTACATCATTATATTCCCGTGGCTCGTCCGGGCCTCCAGCTTGCCCATGCGGTGCCTGTTGGGCTTCACTCATTCTCTTGAACGTCTCAATTTTTCCTCTGAACTTTACAAAGCGACGGTTCAGCCCGTCCTCATAAAAAAGGAAAAAGTCCATTCCATGCACCCGCCAAACCCGCTGTTCATGAATGAAAAACGGTTTACACACATGACTCACAACTGATGACGTTCGAACACTTCCGGAGCAAGTGCTTCACTGACGAATGATGTTCGAACCATAACGCTATAAATGCTTCACCCACGTACTACAAATAATCGCCAACAGAACCTAAACACCTAACCTAACCTATGCCTAACTATTATGCACAGTACGCTAAATATATAACAATTTATATTTGAGAAAATTCCTATTTTAAATAAACAGCATGTTAAACTTGATGAATGCGTCTTTGGGGTCGACCGCTGGATGGAATGGACTTAGTCTGAGGACGGGTTGGAGGGTTCCAGCCAGGTGCTGCTGACTCTTAATCTAAACAGGTAGTCTGAAACCTAGTAAAAATTTATTTTGCTTTAACTGTTGCTCTTATTCTTTTATTAATGTATACTCATATGAATGTTAGCAAAGCGAGCTTCAACTCTTGGGTCCCGCCTTTCGGTTACTGGTAGGTTATTGTGATGGTCCCCGACTCTCTTGCTAGCAACTAATAAAACTATGTATGACGTTAATCGCCATACATAGTTTTACTATGTATGGCGATTAACTTCTTCTTCCCTTCTTAGCTCAAATACTTCCACTAAACTGCTTTATTACCTCCCTGTCGACAACACTTGGCTTCTCTCTCCCTTTTGTGAAAGCCTTTAATGAAGCCTTTTTGTTGCTATCATATCTCCGCTTTCCCTTCTGTTGCACCACCGTGGTGAAGCATACTGCCTTTCCTAGTAGTTCAGTCCACTTAGTTCAGGGACCAGTCTTGTAACATCCTGCTGGACTATCTCTAGTATTGACTTATCTATTTTCAAGGCATCCACACTAGGGCTTCATGGCTTCATATTATCGTATTGGTATGACGGAAGTTGTATGTAACGTCTGTAAAGCGTACCTGACCTGAAGGTTGCACGAATGTTCGCCCCACACACACACACACACACACACACACACACACACACACTAGGGGTTGTGTATGTGCGTGTGTATTTACTATTTGAGTCTGCAGGATCAAGCTATTAGCTCTTGGACTAATGATGGCGATGATGGCTACACTAGTGATGGGGTGGTGTAGCAGAGTGGGCTGGGTCGTGGGGACGCACACAACACACACACACACACACACACACACACACACACACACACACACACACACGTGTCACCCACCTTGACACTCTCACAAAGGAACCCATAAAAAGAAAACGGAAGCATATATATATTAAGAACTGACGCTTCTCCACCTAATTAATCAGCGTCTTTATATATATATTTTATATATATATATATATATATATATATATATATATATATATATATATATATATATATATATATATATATATATATATGTATATATATATATATATATATGTCGTACCTAATAGCCAGAACGCACTTCTCAGCCTACTATTCAAGGCCCGATTTGCCTAATAAGCCAAGTTTTCATGAATTAATGTTTTTTCGTCTACCTAACCTACCTAACCTAACCTAACCTAGCTTTTTTTGGCTACCTAACCTAACCTTACCTATAAATATAGGTTAGGTTAGGTTAGGTAGGGTTGGTTAGGTTCGGTCATATATCTACGTTAATTTTAACTCCAATAAAAAAGAATTGACCTCATACATAGAAAAAAGGGTTGCTTTATCATTTCATAAGAAAAAAATTATAGTAAATATACTAATTCAGGAAAACTTGGCTTATTAGGCAAATCGGGCCTTGAATAGTAGGCTGAGAAGTGAGTTCTGGCTACTAGGTACGACATATATATATATATATATCGCTTCTGATGGACTAGTTACGTAACTTCACATATAAACCGTCTCTTCACAGTTGACCACACCATCAGCGGGACATCAAGAGCCCCTCCCAGAAATAGTGAAAGTTTATTAGTTATGACAATTACATACAATTTTGTATATCATTGTATCCTACACTACACCTCCACACACATACACTGTTGACTGTCCAAGCCAGCTGTATGTGTGTGCTCGCTTACAACCCTTCAAATTTGTTAACAACCTTCCAAGCTCACTTAACAACCCTTCAACCTCACTTAACAACCCTCCAAGCTCACTTAACAACCCTCCAAGCTCATTTAACAACCCTCCAAGCTCACTTAACAACCCTCCAAGCTCATTTAACAACCCTCCAAGCTCACTTAACAACCCTCCAAGCTCATTTAACAACCCTCCAAGCTCATTTAACAACCATCCAAGCTCACTTAACAACCTTTCAAGCTCGCTAACAACCCTCCAAGCTCATTTAACAACCCTCCAAGCTCACTTAACAACCCTTTAAGCTAGCTAACAACCCTCCAAGCTCACCAACAACCAATCCGGTCAGCTCACAAACGCGCCTCATCCGTTTCATCATGTTGTTGTTGTTATAGATTCCACTACTCGGAACAAGTTCAAAAGTAGCACGGGCTATGGTGAGCCCGTAACCCGTTTCATCAGCTCTTCCTCCTCCTCCCCCCCAACGGCAGGTGAGCGAATGGTTTGGTAACATGCGTCGCCGGATCCGCGAAGCGACGCGCGGCCTGGGGCTGTGTTGGGAGGAGCGGGTCAGGGTCTACAACGCCGTCATCACCGGCAAGTCGGAGCCGCTGCCCATCCTCCCGGACGATGCCATCAACACCTGGGTGCCTCCCGTTCCTCAAGGTAAGGCAGAGGGAGCCCCCCCTGCAGAATTCCGCGCCACGCCGCAGCCCCCCACCCCTTTACGAAGCCTATACATCTGGGTTTAGAAAGCTGATTTCATAACCGTAAATAAAGGACGTCATGATTAAGGTCTTAACATGTACGGGTTTCGTAAATGGTTACGTGAATGATTGATGATTCTTGGCCCCAAAGGGGGGGGGGGGGGTGGTGGGAGTGTCAGGTCTCAAGGAAGCGCCAAGGGGGAGGGTAAGACAGGCGGGCACACGTGTGGACGACTTCCGTGGACGAGGCGTCGGAGGGTCGCCTTGCTAAACTGTTTTGTCCTTCCTGGAGAAGTTGATTCGATTCTGGGTCTTGTTTGGGAGTCTCCCGGGAGCCCCCAAGCTATCCTGGGAGCCCCCAAGCTGCCCTGGGAGCCCCCAAGCTGTCCTGGGAGCCCCCAAGCTATCCTGGGAGCCCCCAAGCTGTCCTGGGAGCCCCCAAGCTATCCTGGGAGCCCCCAAGCTGTCCTGGCAGCCCCCAAGCTGTCCTGGGAGCCCCCAAGCTATCCTGGGAGCCCCCAAGCTGCCCTGGGAGCCCCCAAGCTATCCTGGGAGCCCCCAAGCTGCCCTGGGAGCCCCCAAGCTGTCCTGGGAGCCCCCAAGCTATCCTGGGAGCCCCCAAGCTATCCTGGGAGCCCCCAAGCTGCCCTGGGAGCCCCCAAGCTGTCCTGGGAGCCCCCAAGCTATCCTGGGAGCCCCCAAGCTATCCTGGGAGCCCCCAAGCTGCCCTGGGAGCCCCCAAGCTATCCTGGGAGCCCCCAAGCTGTCCTGGGAGCCCCCAAGCTGCCCTGGGAGCCCCCAAGCTGCCCTGGGAGCCCCCAAGCTGTCCTGGCAGCCCCCAAGCTGTCCTGGGAGCCCCCAAGCTGTCCTGGGAGCCCCCAAGCTATCCTGGGAGCCCCCAAGCTATCCTGGGAGCCCCCAAGCTATCCTGGGAGCCCCCAAGCTGTCCTGGGAGCCCCCAAGCTGCCCTGGGAGCCCCCAAGCTGTCCTGGGAGCCCCCAAGCTGTCCTGGGAGCCCCCAAGCTGTCCTGGGAGCCCCCAAGCTGCCCTGGGAGCCCCCAGGCTGTCCTGGGAGCCCCCAAGCTGTCCTGGGAGCCCCCAAGCTGTCCTGGCAGCCCCCAAGCTGTCCTGGGAGCCCCCAAGCTGTCCTGGGAGCCCCCAAGCTATCCTGGGAGCCCCCAAGCTATCCTGGGAGCCCCCAAGCTGTCCTGGCAGCCCCCAAGCTGTCCTGGGAGCCCCCAAGCTGTCCTGGGAGCCCCCAAGCTGTCCTGGGAGCCCCCAAGCTATCCTGGGAGCCCCCAAGCTGTCCTGGGAGCCCCCAAGCTGCCCTGGGAGCCCCCAAGCTGTCCTGGGAGCCCCCAAGCTGTCCTGGGAGCCCCCAAGCTGTCCTGGGAGCCCCCAAGCTGCCCTGGGAGCCCCCAAGCTGTCCTGGGAGCCCCCAAGCTGTCCTGGGAGCCCCCAAGCTGTCCTGGGAGCCCCCAAGCTGTCCTGGGAGCCCCCAAGCTGTCCTGGGAGCCCCCAAGCTGTCCTGGGAGCCCCCAATCTGTCCTGGGAGCCCCCAAGCTGCCATAGGAGCCCCCAAGCTGCCATGGGAGCCCCCAAGCTGTCCTGGGAGCCCCCAAGCTGTCCTGGGAGCCCCCAAGCTGTCCTGGGAGCCCCCAAGCTGTCCTGGGAGCCCCCAAGCTATCCTGGGAGCCCCCAAGCTATCCTGGGAGCCCCCAAGCTGTCCTGGGAGCCCCCAAGCTGTCCTGGGAGCCCCCAAGCTGTCCTGGGAGCCCCTAGCTGTCCTGGGAGCCCCCAAGCTGTCCTGGGAGCCCCCAAGCTGTCCTGGGAGCCCCAAGCTGTCTTGGGAGCCCCCAAGCTGTCCTGGGAGCCCCCAAGCTATCCTGAGAGCCCCCAATCTGTCCTGGGAGCCCCCAAGCTGTCCTGGGAGCCCCCAAGCTGTCCTGGGAGCCCCCAAGCTGTCCTGGGAGCCCCCAAGCTGTCCTGGGAGCCCCCAAGCTGTCCCGGGAGCCCCCAAGCTGTCCCGGGAGCCCCCAAGCTGTCCTGGGAGCCCCCAATCTGTCCTGGGAGCCCCCAAGCTGCCCTGGGAGCCCCCAAGCTGCCCTGGGAGCCCCCAAGCTGTCCTGGGAGCCCCCAAGCTGTCCTGGGAGCCCACAAGCTGTCCTGGGAGCCCCCAAGCTGGCCTGGGAGCCCCCAAGCTGTCCTGGGAGCCCCCAAGCTGTCCTGGGAGCCCCCAAGCTGTCCTGGGAGCCCCCAAGCTGTCCTGGGAGCCCCCAAGCTATCCTGGGAGCCCCCAAACTATCCTGGGAGCCCCCAATCTGTCCTGGGAGCCCCCAATCTGTCCTGGGAGCCCCCAAGCTGTCCTGGGAGCCCCCAATCTGTCCTGGGAGCCCCCAAGCTGTCCTGGGAGCCCCCAAGCTGTCCTGGGAGCCCCCAATCTGTCCTGGGAGCCCCCAAGCTGCCCTGGGAGCCCCCAATCTGTCCTGGGAGCCCCCAAGCTGCCCTGGGAGCCCCCAAGCTGTCCTGGGAGCCCCCAAGCTGTCCTGGGAGCCCCCAAGCTGTCCTGGGAGCCCCAAGCTGTCCTGGGAGCCCCCAAGCTGCCCTGGGAGCCCCCAAGCTGTCCTGGGAGCCCCCAAGCTGTCCTGGGAGCCCCCAAGCTGTCCTGGGAGCCCCCAAGCTGTCCTGGGAGCCCCCAAGCTGTCCTGGGAGCCCCCAAGCTGTCCTGGGAGCCCCCAAGCTGTCCTGGGAGCCCCCAAGCTGTCCTGGGAGCCCCAAGCTGCCCTGGGAGCCCCCAAGCTGTCCTGGGAGCCCCCAAGCTGTCCTGGGAGCCCCCAAGCTGTCCTGGGAGCCCCCAAGCTGTCCTGGGAGCCCCCAAGCTGTCCTGGGAGCCCCCAAGCTGTCCTGGGAGCCCCCAAGCTGTCCTGGGAGCCCCCAAGCTGTCCTGGGAGCCCCCAAGCTGTTCTGGGAGCCCCCTAGCTGTCCTGGGAGCCCCCAAGCTGTCCTGGGAGCCCCCAAGCTGTCCTGGGAGCCCCCACGCTGTCCTGGGAGCCCCCAAGCTGTCCTGGGAGCCCCCAAGCTGTCCTGGGAGCCCCCAAGCTATCCTGGGAGCCCCCAAGCTGTCCTGGGAGCCCCCAAGCTGTCCTGGGAGCCCCCAAGCTGTCCTGGGAGCCCCCAAGCTGTCCTGGGAGCCCCCAAGCTGCCCTGGGAGCCCCCAAGCTGCCCTGGGAGCCCCCAAGCTGCCCTGGGAGCCCCCAAGCTGTCCTGGGAGCCCCCAAGCTATCCTGGGAGCCCCCAAGCTGCCGTGGGAGCCCCCAAGCTGCCCTGGGAGCCCCCAAGCTGTCCTGGGAGCCCCCAAGCTATCCTGGGAGCCCCCAAGCTATCCTGGGAGCCCCCAAGCTGCCCTGGGAGCCCCCAAGCTGCCCTGGGAGCCCCCAAGCTGCCCTGGGAGCCCCCAAGCTGTCCTGGGAGCCCCCAAGCTGCCCTGGGAGCCCCAAGCTGTCTATTTTAAGGAAATATCTCAATGTTCTATGACAAAACATACAAATATGGATACAAAATTTCAGACTGTATGTAGAAATAGTTTAAATATAACAAACGAAACCTATGAATTCTTTGGGTCTGAATCTATGTATTACGAATATTTCCTGATTAGACTAAAGTCTGTAAATCAGTTCAGCCTTCAGGTCCTGGCGAAGAGTCGCGTTGATACTTAATGTGTTACTTTTTTTCAGACCCTCCAGTCCTCGAGTCTCCCGAAGAGGTGTCAGTATCGCCCAAGTTCAAGACGACGCTCCTCCACCGGTATCTCAATAACTCCTTGGAGGCCGCAGTATGCCCCTCCGGCGACCTCCAGTACTCCTCCACCTCCGCCTCCCCTCAACATGATGACCCCCTCCAACCCTACAAATCATCATCAACGTCAGAGCCTTCTGATGAGTTTCCACAGTCCTTGCCACTCTGCACTTCCAGCCCCAAGGAGAGCTTCCAAGCTCTTTGGAACGCCTCCTTCGAGCACGTCAAAGATGGGCAGGTGCCGAGCGTTGGCACCAGAGTCCTTGGCCGGCCAGACCTCCTCCAGGTGAAGCCACAGGGCGAAGAGGAAGGACGAGTCATCAAGAGATATGACCGACATCGGAATTATGGATCCCCGTGTGTCAAGAAGCAGAGGACGCTAGAGCCGGGCGAGGACTGGCTACACCGAGCTTCAACGTCTACAAACTCCACTCCCAGGCCCTCCACTCCCGGGCCCTCCACTCCTGGGCCCTCCACTTCAAGAGACTCCATTTCGCTGGTCTTTGGGGGACGCAAGACAGCTGCTGGCGGTGAAAGCTACAGCAGCCGTCTTCACCTGGCGTCGTGGACCACAAGGGCCACCTTGGCCGACGCCAGGTCCTCAGGTGAGGACCAGCTCGACGGAATGTCTCTTGTAACGTGACAAAAATTCTGTCTATAGTATATGTTGTGTGACTGTTCTCTTGCCTTATACTTGTCAGTCTTGCTGTTAGTCCTATCATTAAGAGCCTCATCTCGTCTTCTTCAATTCTTATTATTAAAATTGATCTATTGAAGGCTATCTTATGACACGTGAAAACAACAATAATGTTCTTAATGTCAATTGAAATATGCGCAAGTTTTCGCTACGTAGCAGAAATCTCTGACAAGTAAGCGAGATCTTTATTAGGTAAGACTCCTAGCTAGGGAAACTAAGAATTATGTTAGCATAACTAAAAGACTAGTTTGTGCCAAATAAAAAAGGAGGAGGTGAACCTCTGCTGCCCTACTGATAACTTTTCTTTCTGAAAATGTTGGCATTTATTAAGACCTACTAATTGCAGAATGATTAACAAGGTGCGTTGCTTATGTTGCAGACGAGGAGGGCAGCGCAGACCGATGCATACGTCTGCCGGAGGAGCTAGCAGCTGCTTACACTCTTATGCAACTGCAACATATGTGACGTCCTTGTCTCTTGCACCTGTAAGACGTGTGAACTCCTCGCCTCACACCCTCATGCAGCTGGTGACGTCCCCGCCACCAATATCGGCTTGCCGCATCATCAACTGAAGCACTGACAGCGGCTGAGTGGCTACATGTTGTTCCAAAGTGCCATAACTCAACGTCCCGAGAGTGTGGAGGCCTGATACTCCCCCCCAAAATGTATTCGCCTATCAAAAAGCCACAGTAACGCCATATATGTCTCGGTGGAATACAAAGTGGCTCACACTTTACCCTGGTGTATCAACCGAGGGTAACGGAAGGATTTGATTACTTCAAAGAGCTCTTAGGCATCACCAATGGACTTCTACTCCTCCCAAAAACCACCACATCTCTCATCTCCGGACCACAAGTGTTTCCTGGTCCACTCAGCCCCGTCTTCCTGCCCGAGGGCCTCGAGATGCCCTTCCCTCGTAGTGGAGCAAATGTGAGCTCCAAACTGTATTCCTTAGTATATCCCCGTCTTCCGTCTCCATGCAGCTTTCTTGAATCTCGGGGCAAAACTGATTGACTTCTGCCACGAGAATCTTTGGTGTCCCCTCTCAACTCAAAGAAGAGTTCATGCATTCGTACATGCGAGATATCTCCACATGTTTGAGACTTCTGAAGCCTCTTTGAACTTAGGAAATTACTACACAGTTTCTGACTGTTAAAAATTCAAATGGGCTGCGTGCCCGTGCTGCTCACAACTGTTGACTTCCCTACCTTTTGATATCTTCGCTGCCTAAGACGTGATTGTTCAACGTCCAAGGTGTGAACTGGATATGAAACTTGTGACGAACAATTGAATACGAGTGAATGAATGTAAATATAGTTCATATGCAGACTTCTTGCAGTTTTGGTGACTGATATGATAATCTCTGCCTGCCGAGCGAAAGAACCTAGTTAGTTAAGACTCGACGACAAGTCTTCCAAGAAAGTACAACTCAGCACTGTGTACAAATACCTGATGAAACAAGCGAGCAGCGCCCTCTGGCCACTTGGAAACACGCCCTTGTGTTATATTTTTGTCAAACGTAGTGGCTATAGTTAGTTATGAAACGTTTTAGGTCTTCATCGTTGCGTGGCCTCGCAAAACGTTGCCACCTGATCCTGTGAAGTGATGTTTGCTGTGTTGTTGACACCCGGGCGTCGGCTGTCAGCCTGCTCGAACCTCCTGCGAGCTTGCGACACCAGGGAGCAGGCCGCCGGAGTACCTGTAGCAGTGGAAGATTCATAACGGCTCTTGCTGGAGTGTAACCTCTAGTACTCTCAGCAAGGTGTGGAGGGACCTGCCGCCAGAGTACAGTACTCTCAGCAAGGTGTGGAGGGACCTGCCACCAGAGTACAGTACTCTCAGCAAGGTGTGGAGGGACCTGCCACCAGAGTACAGTACTCTCAGCAAGGTGTGGAGGGACCTGCCACCAGAGTACAGTACTCTCAGCAAGGTGTGGAGGGACCTGCCGCCAGAGTACAGTACTCTCAGCAAGGTGTGGAGGGACCTGCCGCCAGAGTACAGTACTCAGCAAGGTGTGGAGGGACCTGCCGCCAGAGTACAGTACTCTCAGCAAGGTGTGGAGGGACCTGCCGCCAGAGTACAGTACTCTCAGCAAGGTGTGGAGGGACCTGCCGCCAGAGTACAGTACTCTCAGCAAGGTGTGGAGGGACCTGCCACTATAGATTACGGCAACAACCGACTCCTCCGTCAACAACAGTGGGACCAACACGCGGTGACCTGAACCACTTCAACACCAGCGTCGGGACTTATGGGCGTAGCTGAGCTATTTCCGTTTTTTTTTCTTTGTTAAATAATACTTCAAAGCAGGTCTTTGAATGATCATCTTCACGTCCCAGTCATCACTTACACCACAACGAGAGGCAGTTTGAGTAGTAGACAAGTAGTCAGTTGGTTTGCGTTGTAGTAAGCCACGACTCAAGAGGACTATAGCACAGTCCAGTGTGAGTTTATTTATAATGTTGCATCTAGTCTTTCAACCAAGTGTGTTTCGATGGAGAGTTGTGACTGGAGGTGCTTGGCAGTGTGTATACGGCTCAGGACTCGCTAGTCTAATTGACGACAAAAATGTTCAAAACAATTCTTCAGACAAAGCCTTATTTCAGAACAGATGAAAACTTTCCACTGAGGCAAACAGCCGAGCGCTGAAGCAAGTTGCGAGTGTGCGTGTGACCTGCAGCTAAGTGTTGCGTTTCTGAAAGTTAGTGAAGCAGTGAACTGAAGTATGAAACTGCATCTTGAAAACCTCTTGCAGACTAGTGTTACACCTAGGACGCCAGGTGACGACTCTCTGTCTGCTGCCTCACTTCAAATCTTTACCTGAATTTTTTTTTAAGTTCAGTTACACGTGTCATGTGTGGTAAAAACTTGGTGTGTGTGTGTGTGTGTGTGTCCACGAGTCCGCCCCCATCACCACACGTGGGCGTCCGGGCCCCCATCACCACAAGTGGGCGTCCGGGCCCCCATCACCACAAGTGGACGTCCGGGCCCCCATCACCACAAGTGGGCGTCCGGGCCCCCATCACCACAAGTGGACGTCCGGGCCCCCATCACCACAAGTGGGCGTCCGGGCCCCCATCACCACAAGTGGGCGTCCGGGCCCCCATCACCACAAGTGGGCGTCCGGGCCCCCATCACCACACGTGGGCGTCCGGGCCCCCATCACCACAAGTGGGCGTCCGGGCCCCCAACACCACAAGTGGGCGTCCGGGCCCCCAACACCACAAGTGGGCGTCCGGGCCCCCAACACCACAAGTGGGCGTCCGGGCCCCCATCACCACAAGTTTCCTCCAAAAGAATAGTTTGACAGTAAAACTTGTTTTCGTTGCTCGTCATCTCGACTCTCTGTTGAAGCACATGTGTATATAGATATGCAAGAGTACTATGCGCAACAGGTTAGCGATCTGCCTCACTACACACACCTTAATTAAGGATAGTCTTCTTGGTCTTGTATGTACATTTTCTCAATTTTATTTCCGCGATAAAAAAAAAAGTAACCTTCGAGATTATTAGTCAGGGTTATACATAACTATGTAGTTATTTTCCATGTAAACAACCCGTAATCTCTTCTGTATAGAAGGTGCAGATTATATAGCTTTCTCCTGATGACTGCACATAGACTCTTCCTACGCTTCTCTGCAACGTTTTCTATAGCATACTTAACTGACAGCGAAACTAAATCGGTTTTATCCACTTGCACTCCCACTGTTGCTCTATTTACACTTCTTTTATTTCAATCATTATCGTATTCCATTCTGTTTCACCCATTTTATAGTTTATCCATCCATTATACACACTTTGGCCTAGTCATTCGAGTGAGAACATATTCTACACATCTAGTCAATGCAATGCAGGTTGAAGTCTGAGACAGTTTAGCAAAGTCATCCCTCTATCCGAGAACAGCTTCTCCAGAGAAAACGTACACTTAGCCATTTTTATTTTTTAATTTAATCCGTAACTTAAATATAATTCACTCTTGCTTTCTTATTTATTTATATATTTATTTATTTATTTATGCATATACAAGAATGTACATAAGGAATGTGAGGATACAAATATGGTAATTACAGTCTTGTAAAACCACTAGCACGCGCAGCGTTTCGGGCAGGTAAATAATCTATAATGTTCAATGGTTTCCTTATGTTGGTAGCAAAATCTGTAGGTTCAGTGAGGTCCTCCTAGGCTACGTACTGACTCTTTCCCAAGTTGCAATCCACAACAGTTGCCTAAATCAAGGGGTAGGTATTCACTGGTGGGTAAACAGAAGTATACCAGCTTTCACCTCTCTAGGAATTGAAGCCGAAACCTCTTTGTTTATCGACAATCAAATTAACACAGATGGTGGTCGCCGGAGAGCCAGATGGACCGAGGGACCACGTGTTGGTCGACCGAGGGACCACGTGTTGGTCGACCGAGGGACCACGTGTTGGTCGACCGAGGGACCACGTGTTGGTCGACCGAGGGACTACATGTTGGTCGACCGAGGGACTACATGTTGGTCGACCGAGGGACCACGTGTTGGTCGACCGAGGGACCACATGTTGGTCGACCGAGGGACTACATGTTGGTCGACCGAGGGACCACGTGTTGGTCGACCGAGGGACTACATGTTGGTCGACCGAGGGACCACGTGTTGGTCGACCGAGGGACCACGTGTTGGTCGACCGAGGGACTACATGTTGGTCGACCGAGGGACTACATGTTGGTCGACCGAGGGACCACGTGTTGGTCGACCGAGGGACTACATGTTGGTCGACCGAGGGACCACGTGTTGGTCGACCGAGGGACCACATGTTGGTCGACCGAGGGACTACATGTTGGTCGACCGAGGGACCACGTGTTAGTCGACCGAGGGACTACATGTTGGTCGACCGAGGGACCACGTGTTGGTCGACCGAGGGACCACGTGTTGGTCGACCGAGGGACCACGTGTTGGTCGACCGAGGGACCACATGTTGGTCGACCGAGGGGACACATGTTGGTCAACCGAGGGACCACATGTTGGTCGACCGAGGGGACACATGTTGGTCAACCGAGGGGTCACATGTTGGTCGACCTAGGGACTACATGTTGGTCGACCGAAGGGCCATATGTTGGTCGACCGAGGGACCACATGTTGGTCGACCGAGGGGCCACATGTTGGTCGACTGAGGGACCACATGTTGATCGACCGAGGGACCACATGTTGATCGACCGAGGGACCACATATTGGTCGACCGAGGGGCCATATGTTGGTCGACCGAGGGGCCACATGTTGGTTGACCGAGGGACCACATGTTGGTCGACCGAGGGGCCACATGTTGGTCGACCGAGGGGCCATATGTTGGTCGACCGAGGGGCCACATGTTGGTCGACCGAGGGGCCATATGTTGGTCGACCGAGGGGCCATATGTTGGTCGACCGAGGGGCCATATGTTGGTCGACCGAGGGACCACATGTTGGTCGACCGAGGGACCACATGTTGGTCGACCGAGGGACCATATGTTGGTCGACCGAGGGGCCACATGTTG